TTTAATTGTCATTTGAGTTTGTCTAAATGAAGAAGACTTCGGTTATATATTTTCATTTGTTCTTTAAAATAAAGTCCGAAGTTTTGATATTGTAATTGTAAAAGTGGGGTGTCTGCAAATGTTTTTTGTATGTTAGAAATTGTCTCTTTTTCTTCATGTGTAAAAAACATTTTAATTCGGATTTTGAGGATTTCTTTCATTTGTGAAAGATCTTCGTAGTTCTTGTTGACTTTATTCTTCTTGCAAAAGTCGTACGCCTTGTAGAGTAAAGTAACTTGAAGTACTTTATCACTCAACTCGTCATATCTTTCATCTGCTACTATTCTGACTACATTGACGCCATGGTGTATCAATCTTTCTGTTAAGACATTCACCGCGTTATTACTTGAAGCAGTCACAAGGATCTTTTTATCGCAAGCAAAGTCTTTTGAATAATCGACATCCTCTATGTCATTGTTCATTTTTATTCTTTCAATCTCTAAAGTCTCTCTATATAACAGTAAGTGCTGGACAACAGAGACTGCCACAGAAGTCTTTCGCGTCCCTGGAGGGCCAACTATCAAGGAAAGATGGTTGTTTAAAGCACTTAAAACTGCGTGATTTGACTTGGATTTAACTTCACTTGATTATCAAGAGTCGGAGGGTTGATGTCTTGGAAAGAGAACATACTAGTTGGCGGTAACGCCTCCATACCCAAAATAGTTTGTAAATATCCATTCACATTTTCGTATTTAGAAAACTTGTTAAACGACTTTGATATTGTTGTGGTATTAACCGACTGACTCAAAGTATATAATCTAAATAACTTTGTTGTCCACATCGTTTGAGGACCAAACAAGTTTAAAGGAATTGTCTGCTTTTCTTTAGGAAGATGCTCTTCAAATATCTTCTCATTCAATTCAAGTTGGGTAACATCTGCTTTGGAGAAACAAACAGTACCACTCACTATAAAATTACAAGAAGCAAACAAATTTGTGATGTTATTAATCACAAAGTTTTCTGTTTAAAACTTTAAAATACCTTTGTTGCCTCTTCCACAAAATATAATCTTAGAACACTGTCTGGGACGTTTCTCCATTTTTCCATGTTGAATTGTGACATATATTTTGTCACCGTCTTTGTGAAACTTGATGTTATTTTTGTATTCAAACTCTTCCCAGCTTTCTAACTTTTCTTCATATTCAAAAAGAGTTTTATATGTGTCACAGTAGTCTTCAATTGAATGATACCGTTGTTGGATCTTTGCACCTTTGTAATCATAGTCTTTTACATTGTCAATTGAATTGATTTCTTCCATTGAAATGCTTTTTAATGAGACACCATAAGAAGGAATGTTATTTAATGAAAATATACCTTGTTTAATGACAAATTCACTACATAAAAATTTCTTGTTAGGGGGGATACAATTGGTTCAATAAAACTTCTCTTCACCATTTCTATATCGAAGATCAAAAATGTTTGTCTCTCCACAATTTACACATTCAATGGGTTTGTCGTTAAATGAATAAGAATAGTGTTGATGATTTCTTACATGCATTAACAACTGACATTCACTTGAATTATTCACCGGACCATTACAAACATATTTACCACATGAACATTGAACTACACCTTCGGTCTCTCCACAATAATAACACTTTCTTTCTTCTGTGTTGATTTCTGGAGTTGGAGTTGCACTGATAAAAGAAACGTGTTGTTGACTTGAAATGTTTGTAAATATAGGCGTTTGTACACAAACACTCATTCAAGTTGTTTTAAAGATTAATAATTTGGAATTTAAATTACAACATGGCATGATGCTTATTTTTTTAAAGTTTTTTTATTGTAACCAAACAAATAATAAATCATATATGACAAAGATCTTTGTTAATGAAGTAAAAACAAAAGACTTCAAAAATTAGTTTAAACAGTAAAGTATTATTTAACATATTATTATGTTTTAAAATAATTACAACTTTGTTCTAATTTATACCCAATTAAATTCAAAATATAGAGTTATGCTTATTTTTTAAAGAGTATATAAATTAAAAACCTAAAAGTTTGATAATTATATTTTTTATAATTAGTTATAATACTGAAATATCAGTTTTCTTTTCGTCCTATTAATAAAAACTGAGCAAATTCTATTTATTTTTTATATCGGAAAGTGATTAGGAGATAGATAAGCCAAAAGTGCCGAATATTTGGTTTGTTTGTAGACATTCTTAAAATAACTTGACCAAAAATATTAATAGAAAGGATCAAAGCAAAGGAGAAAAACAATTCTTTAATGAACTTCAATAGAATAGCAGTTGATTAAAAGTTTTAATCTATGTAAAATTCAATTGAAATCAAAAAAAGTTCAATTTTATGGAATAAACAATTTATGTTTGTACATTGTGTTTTGTTATTGTTTTATTGCAAGTAATAACAATTTATGTAAAAGCTGTTGTATGGTTTAAACATACATAACACGTTATTTAAAAACTGTTTTATTGCATAATCAATATAAACATATATAAACAATTGCTGTTGTACACAGTGTCATAAGTTTATTTTCGATTATTTTAAATATTAGGTAAACAGAAATAGTTATTTATATCTAAACAAAAGAAACAAGCTAAAAAACCAGAAAAATAAAATAAATTATTTACAATTATTAAACGTAATTATTAATTATTATGGTTCAAAAGGTACCAGATATATTCGATACATATAACGTTAGAAGACTGACTGCATTCGTTTTGTATAAGTTCAATACAGTTGTAATTGTTGAAAAAAAGACTATTTGTTTTCTATTATTTTCAATAGAGGTATTCAAAGAGTACTCTGTAATAACCAAAAAAGTACATTGACCAACACTTCTCAAATAGAATTTATTAACCATTTCAAATTATATTTAAATTTTAATGATAGTAAATAGAAAACTGGGAAGATATTTTGAATATTTCCCGAAATCAAGAAATGTCGTATATTCACCTCGAGTCAGTGGATTCTGAGTGAAACAGATCATTGAAAAAAAGTTTATTAAAAAGCACTCAAACAATCTGTTTTTGCGCCCATACATCAATTTCCATGTTTTTTTACTTGGCGTGGATATACAAAGCGGGGGTCCACATTAGAATTCATACAGTACGGACAAGGAAATTGGGTGAAATGGAAACGTACAAACAATGGCTTAAAGGTGTTATTTTTTCAAAAAAAACAAATGTTTTATTTTTGTAAAGGTGATGAGAATGGTCGATGTTTAATTAAACAATTTATATATTTATATTAAAATTATACTATTAAATAATCATATAATGAAGTATTCTGCCACATTGTGGTCAAATGGGAAAATATTATTTATGTTATTAGTGGTGTTATTGGTAATATGGTTTTTAAATATTTATATTTATAATATCCCTTTTTAAAGCTTATCTACTTCCGCGAGTTTGGAACATTTCAATAAAAATTGACTAAAAATACAGTGAATGGACAGACTTCAATAATATAATGATGGGTTCTGTCACACTGTGACAGAAAAATCTTAATTATATAATAATTTTAATTCAAATTAAAAAATTTTTAAAACATAAGTTTTAATAAATTTTGGTTTTTTTGGTCATTTTAATTTGTTTTAAATTTTACTCATATTTAATGATTTTATTTCCTTTACAGATACAGAAAAAACAGGGACCAAATCATAAACCAGGGACCAGACTAAATTAAGCTGTTTTATTTTTGATATAAAGTTTCCTTGATATGGAAAAATAAACAAATAATCGGGGGTTTTGGAGGATATGTTGGTTTATTTTCAAAAACCAGGGATCAAGTATTAATAAACACACTGTTTTTTAAAATAAAATAGAAAAAACTATAAAAAATGAAACTCTTAATTAATCATTCAGAGTTGTCTTATTTGTTAATGCCCAGCCGAGCCAAAGTAAAGTTTGTTTTTTATATTGATTTATCTTCCGTTGTTTAATACGTTTAATGATCATCGATCAATT